CCGATCTCGGGGGTTTTAAAGCAGTTTAAACTATTTTTTTTAAAGAATTTAGAGCCCTTTTAGGAGGAAACCCCCACGATGTTTCCCCGCACTTGATCCCCCCCCACTCAAAGAGCCCGGGGCGATGGAAAATTGGCAAATTTAATACTGATACAGGAGGGTTTGGCTTTTTTTTTTTTTTTTTTTTTTTTTTTTTTTTTTTTAAACCTTTACACAGCAAAACAAAACAAAAAATTAACCCGGGGAGGTCACGGGGAATAGGGAGAAAGGCAGGAGCCTCCCGGGGTTGAATAAAGATGTGTACAGGGATAACGGATACAAAACACCGGCGGGGGCTCGGGGTCGCTGTAAAATGGGGGGGGTTCTTAAAAAAAAAAATAAAAATATAGTAAAAAAGCTTTGTTCAGGGGGAAGTTGGTGCACCCAGATGGCAAAGGCGACCCTGGCTCACCCCAGGGTTTTAAAATTTCATATATTTTTTCGCATTGTGGCTCGGGGAGCACCCGGGCACACCCCAAAGCAGCTCCCCGGCTGCCATGGGGCCAGGGGGGGGTCACGCTGGTGTCCCACCCCCCCCTGTGGTTTGGGTCTGGTTGAGCTCTTTGGGGGAGCTGGAAGGCACTTTGGGAGCCCTGAAGAAATAAGGGTGCACCCCCCACATACAAAAAAAGGGGTGCACCCCCCAAAAAATCCGTGTACCCCCTCAAAAAATGGGTGCACCCATCAAAAAATAAGGGTGCACCCCCTCAAAAAAATAAGGGTGCACCCCCCCCAAAAAATATAAGGGTGCACCCCTAGGGATGCTGCTGCCACCCTGTGAATTGGGGGGCAGGGGGAGGAAATGGGGGGGTCAGCTCATCCTGCTCTTGGCCGCAGTCACGCCTGGGTGTATTATACAAAGATTAAAAGATTTCTGTTTTTTTAACAACAAAAAAAAACCCCAAAACAACAAAATAAATCAAACCAACCCCAAAACTATTGGCACAAGTGTTGTTTGGAAGCTCTACGTACCATCTAGCCAGCGGGTGGGGGTGAGGGGGGGGTGTCAGAGGGTCCCCAAAAATCTTACCCTGACCTACTCCTCGCCCTCTGCCTGGTACCGCTCTCCTCAGGTTTTGGGGGG